CATCCATCCATCCATCCATCCATCCATCCATCCATCGTGGGAATCCTCAAAACATCTTTCCTTCTCCTCAAAAAAGTCTCTATCATTCTCCATCTGTCCATCCATCCATCCTTCCATGTCTGTCTGTCTGTCTATCTATCTATCTATCTATCTATCTATCTATCTATCTATCTATCTCCATCCATCCATCCAGGGAATCCTCAAAACATCTTTCCTTCTCCCCCCCAAAATCTCTATCATTCTCCATCTGTCCATCCATATCTATCTATCTATCTATCTATCTATCTATCTATCTATCTATCATCTATCTATCTATCTAATCAATTAATCCATTTACTTAGCACACCTTCTAGAAAAATACGTATTGATGTCAGCCCTTTATGGCAGATCAAACTAGGAACCAGACACACAAGCTGGTCAACGCTCATCAATCATCACCTTGTTGCTTCAAGTCTCAAAGTTCATCAGGAACTGGTCTGGTAAACTTGGAGTTGGTGCGCTGTACAAGTGCAAACCTGTGGCTTGAACAGGGGCATCTGAGAGACCTCACTACAGCTAGTAACTATGCAGAAGAGCTTCATGCCTCACTGAAATCCACTGTCTCCTTAATCATGAGTTTATTGAATTAGTCACAACTGGCAAGGTTCATATTGTGCACTAAGCCATAAACCACATCTTGGACTCCCTAAAAGCTGGATTATAATACATACTAACTAAGCCAATAATAAAGCCACCTACAGCACACATAAGCATAGTGCATGCAGCCTATTACCTAGTGCAAACTGCTTTTATGAGTATTATATCCTTCTGCACCACACCCCTCCTCCTCCTCCGCCGCCTATTCACAGCTACTTCAACTCCATGACCCATCTTACTCCCATTCTTACCTGACTTCTGTGTAACTCCAGACACAGCCGGCCGAAACCGCTGCAGCCCACTTCTTACAGACCTGAAAAACCGTATGTCTGTCTTGCAGGGACAAGTAGCAAAAGACATGAGAGAGAATTTCCTCCGGGATGTAGTTCCAGGCATCTCCAACTGTCTCCGGCATCCTTCAGGGACTCTTCTCTGAAAGAAAACACACACTAAATTAAGGCCACACCTAGAATTTCACATCCAGTTTTGCTCACCACACTATAAAAAAGAGGTTGAGACTCTAGAAAGAAAGCAGAGAAGAGCAACCAGGATGATGAGGAGACTGGAGGCTAAAACATACAACGAACGGTTGCAGGAACTGGGCCGGGCTAGTCTAGGGAAGAGAAGGATCAGGGGAGACAGGAGAGCATCTTCCAATATTTGATGAGAAGAAAGAAAAGAGAAGGAGAAGAAAGAACAGCTGATCCGGAGACAGAAAGAGCAAGCTTCTGTATCTGCCGGTCTTACATCCAGCCCCCTCGGGAAAGGAAGAAATGCCATTGTGCTCTCAAACCAGACCTCAAAATCCGCAAGAGGAATCTGCATGTCACCTACCAAGAACCTCCTTCCCTTCCTGCTTTCTCACTGCAGTCCTGAAAAAGGAGAAAGGATCAGCAGTTATTTTTACTTTCCGGAAAGACTGAATGGGTGAAGTCACTTCCTTTGATTTAACGCACGGTTTTCATTGTAGTTTGTAATTCAAGCCTGGCACAGAAACTGACCTTTGATTTCCCGGGTTGTTATCATTGCTGCTCGTAAAACCTGTGTTTGTTCTGCCTTCTGCACTTGCTAAATCCTTGGGCAACGGAGCCCTGATATTGCATTTCAAAACGAAACACGTCATTGCAGGGAGAGGAGGATTCGCCGGCTGCTTAGAGGAACACCCAGATTTTCCTCCCACAGACGAACGATTCCATCTCTTGTATCCTGAACAGCAGCAAGGGGCCTTCTCACACCCTTCCTTCACACAGCGTGAAGGCCCCATTTCGGATTTATTCCTTGGAGTCTAATCAAATTTAGAATCCATCCAGTCCTCGAAGCTCTCTGGGTAATTTACAAAGCAACCAACACCCCCAAATATATAATACAATTGGAAGGCAAACAATTATAATAGAGAGCAGAGCTGGCTGAGTGGTTAGAATACAGCATTGCAGGCTGACTCTGCCAATTGTCAGCAGTTCAATCCTGACCGGCTCAAGGTTGACTCAGCCTTCCATCCTTCTGAGGTGGGTAAAATGAGGACCCAGATTGTTGGGGGACAATAGAGAGGGCTGTAAAGCACGTGAAGCAGTATATTTTTATGATGACTATGATCATGATTTATCACTTATAGTTTTATGTACACTAAGAGCTTATGCACTAAAGACAAATTCCTTGTGTCCAATCACACTTGGCCAATAAAGAATTCTATTCTATTCTATTCTATTCTATTCTATTCTATTCTATTCTATTCTATTCTATTCTATTCTATATTATATTATAGTGCTATTGCTATTGTCCTTCCTTCCTTCCTTTCTTCCTTCCTCCCTTCCTTCCTTCCCATTCATCCATCCATCCATGATGCACATGGTGGTTAGAATGCAGCATTGCAGGCTAATTCTGCCAATTGTCAGCAGTTCAATCCCGACCGGCTCAAACTTGACTCAACCTTCCATCCTTCCAAGATTGGTAAAATGTGGACCCAGATTGTTGGGGGCAAAATGATGTCTTGTAAACCCCTCAGAGAGGACTGTAAAGCACTGTGAAGTGGTATATAAGTCTAGGTACCATTGCTATACCATGAAAAATGAAAACACTGTATAGGTAGTTTTTGACTTACAACCGTTCATTTAGTGACCATTCAAAGTTACCACACTTTAAAAAAGTGACGTGACCATTTTTTGCTGCTTGTAGCATCTGCATATTCACGTGATTTAAATTCAGATGCTTGGCAACTGACTCATAGTTATGACACTTGCGGTTTCCCAGAGTCCCTTTTTGTGACCATCTGACAAGCAAAGTCCATGGGGAAGCTAGGTTCACTTAACAGCCATGTTACTAATTTAACAACTGCAGTGATTCACTTAACAAATGTGGCAAGGAAAGTTGTAAAATGGGAAAAAACTCAGTTAACCCTTAAGACAGCAAAGGTGCCACCCAAAGTATATATACCTCCCACCTAAAGTATATACTGGCAGAAGGAAGGAACAGCCTATTGTCCAAGATGTGGGGTGAGCCAATTCCGCTGGGGAGACCTTGGCTCTGCAAATAATCCACTCCTATTCCATGTAGGACTTTATAAGTCATTTTATGGCCCTCTGCAATTATGATGTGTCAGTTCCTGTTACGCTCCAAAGTTCATGACAGGAGGAAGAAGTACATTATAACAGATATGATACGATTGGCAGTGCAAAAACCCTCATAAAACCGAAAGGTTTTTTTTTTTTCCAATTTGCTAGGACGAAAAATAAAATAAAAGTGAACTTCAGGCACTCAAAAGGTTTCTGCCTGGTACAGCTCCACAATTCTGAGTAACTGAATGAAAAAAAAAAGTCTTTATATCAGGCCAGTTAGACTCAAAGGTCAGAAAAACCAGCACAGTAAAACCCATAAGGAGGTATCATATTCTCAGAGGTCGGAAGGATGTTCTAAAACAGCCATGCAACCTGTATACTGTATGATTTACTGCCCCCAGTGGCTGACCTGGGTACTGTAGGCTCGGAGGGCAAAATACAGGTAGTCATTCATTTATCTTTCACACTTACGATCCCTGCTAGCAGTGATGGGATTCATTTTTTTTTTACTACCGGTTCTGTGGGTACGGCTTGGTGGGTGAGGCAGCGGAAGGATACTGCAAAATCCCCCTTCCCTCCCCACCCTGCTAACCTGCTAACCTGCTTTCCAGCTCTGTTCTCCTGTGCAGGGCAACCAAAGGAGATACTTGAGGGGCTGCCCCAGAGAGGAGGAAGGGGTCAAGCTATTTTCTAAAGCACCTGTTGGCCAGACAAGGAATAATGGATGGAAACTGATCAAGGAGAGATTCAACCTGGAAATAAGGAGAAACTTTTCTGATAGTGAGAACAATGAACCAACGGAACAGAAGTTGCCCTCGGACGTTGTGGGAGCACCATAGACTTGAGACCTTCAAGAAGAGATTGGACTGCAATTTGCCAGAAATAGTGTCAGGTCTCCCGCTTGGGTGGGGGGTTGGACTAGATGACCTATAAGGTCCCTTCCAACTCTGATTATCTGCTATCTGTTAGACCAGACTAACTCATTGAGGAGGGGGGGGGGTGTCAGGCTGCTTCCTCATCAGAATTAGATGCTGCCTCCTGAATGCCAGCAGGAAAAGGAGAAATCCTGCCTGGCTCTATTCTGCAACACCCCCGTCCCACCCCAACCTGGTTGGCCCCTGTACGACACGGTCCCCCCCTGGTTAGGGGTGTCCAACCTTGGCAACCTTAAGCCTGGAAGGACTTCAACTCCCAGAATTCTGCCAAGGTTGGAGGCCCCTGCCCCGATTATGATAATGAGCCAGCGGAGACAAGGGTCGGGCACTCTAGACATGCTCAGAGGCCCTCTTTTCTTTGCTCCCCTTCCCAAATCACCCACCCGGCTCTCCCTACCTACTACCTAAAAAAGAAAAGCAGAAAGAGCTAAAGGGAGAAGAATTTCTTGCAATTTCTCCCCGTAGGCAAAAAACAAGCAACCAACCAACCAATCAACCAACCAACCCACACAGACACACAAAAACAAAGACACACACACTCCTACTTCCCTTTACCAAGGCGATGGCTTCCTAATAAGGTCTGGAGCATGACGTGCCCAGGGCTCTTGCTCTTGATTGGTCCGTAAGGAATTCCGCATCCGCCTCCCGCCCACTCTCGGCCAATGAAAGCGAGCCTCCCGGTCGGATGGACGGCTCCTCCGGCCAGTTGGAGCCGAGGCGGCGGCTATGATCTCGCTTGGGCTACAAAGTAACTGGCCGAACTTCCGAAACTTTTTTTTTTTTCCTGAATGGGCCGGACTTTCCCCCCCCCCCCCCGGGGGGGAGGGGAAAAAAAACAAAAAAAAAAAAGCGCGCGCCCCCCCTCCCCTTCCCACCGCGCGCGCGAAAGACTTCCCGGCTCCGTCGCCTACGAGGCAGCGGCACCCGATCCTATCCCGGGGAAGCGCGCACGTGCCCGGCTGGCAATCTCCGCCCTGAACTTCTGTGACGCGCCAAGGCGGAAAAAGCAGCCGGCGGGGCTCGGCTACTTAGGACGCGGGTAGGCATCGGAGGGGGGTGGGGGGGCTTTGCAAGGCCGTGGGAGGTGGGGGGGGGGGGGGGGGGGGGGGGGGGGGGGGGTCGAGGATCCCGCCCGGATTCGCCCAGCAGGCCGATCGGCGCCGAAAGCCTTACCGGGGGGATTCGAACTCGCGGGCCCTGGAACCGGCTTCTCTGTCCGTCGACCTCCGCAAGGGGTGGGGTGGGGGGTTTCCGCGTGAGTTCCGGGAGGTGGAGGCGGGGGGGGGGGGGAAGCGGTTGCGCGAGAAACCGGAGCCTGGATCGGCGCCCGGGTTTTGCCCACCCCTTTCTCCGTGTCCCGCCGCGTGTCGTGGGAACGCGCGCTTTCCCGTCCTTCCTTCGCGAAGGACGGCAGGGCGCTTTCAAAAAGAGGGTTGGGGGCGATCCGGAGTTTGTGGGGATCGGTCCGGATCGCGCGCAAAATTGGCTCGCTCGCCCCTCTCCGCGATTCCGCTCTTCCCCCTCCTCCGGCAGGGCTGTCTTTTACCAGCATTATGGGTCCTGGGGTCGTGGGAGGGTGCGGGGGGGGGGGAGGGAAAGCTAAGACAATTAACTTCTCCCAGGAATGAAACCTGTCAATGGTCCCTCAAGTTAAACACAGGTCGATTTATTTTCTGGGCGGACTCCCCACCGATCAAAATGAGGGGTGAATTTCTATAGATGCGTGTTAAGTATTAATTTAAAAATAAAATGCGGGGAAAGGTAATAATAAAGGTCACGAAGAATAAAAAGGTAGCAAAGAGGATTTGCTGGATTGATACGGCGCAAGGGGCCCGAACTAACGTGCACAGATTGATTGACGTGCGAATGACCAAGTCGATTCAATTCAAATTGCAAATGATGCACGGATCAGTAGGGAGGCCCCTATGCTGGGGGGGGGAGGGAGAGAGCCCCCCCCCCGGGGGGTCAAGGGTCCCATCAGGCCCCCACAGCCCTGCCTGTCCCACCCGGGCTCTCCAAGGAACCCAGCCCGGGGCTTTTCCCCGCCAAGCGCTTCCTCCTCCTGCCCTCCTCCTCCTCCCCGCGGAGAGAAAGGGGGGTGCCCTTTATCCCCCCCCCACTCACCCCTGCAGCTGGATCCAGAGGTCGCCTCCTCGGGGGCGGAGAGAAGAGAGGCCGGGGTGTGGGTGTGGGTGTGCGTGTGCGTGTGAAAGCTGGAGCTGCCGCCGATCGCCGTCCCCACGTGTCGGGCTGGAGAAGGAAGGGGATGGAAAGCACCCTCGCTTTTTAGCCACCCTCCTTGGCCCGCGTCCCCGGGACGGGGGGGGGGGGGGGCGGGCGTCAAAAGAAAGCGAAAGTGAAACGCGGTTCTTAACCAGCAAGGGGGTCCCGATAACTTTCCCTGTTGGGGGGGGCAGGGGCTCTAAAGGAAAGCGAAAGTGGGGCCCAGATCTAACCAGCGGGGGGGGCAAAAAAAAAGGGTGTGTGTGTGTGTGTGTGATAACGACTTTCCCTTTTTCTGGGGGTGCGGGAGATTGGCCCCGATTCCTAGCACGCGCGCGTGGGAATGGAAGGGCTTCCCCCGGAGCGGGGAGGGGGGGTGAGGGAGGAATCTCTCGGCCCTTTCCGGGAAGAGGCGACTCCCTTTCCAAGCAGCCGCGCTCCTTTGCAGCTCCGTTCGTTGGCCCGGGAAAGGCAGGGGGGGGGGGGGTTCCTTGGTCCGCCGGGAGGACGAGGAGGGGGGGGGCGAAAGGGAGGCGGCGAGGTTGCCCGGTTTCCCCGAGGTGGTTCTAGTCCGGAATTAAAGCCATTTCAACCCAAGTGGCACCAACCTCCTTTCTAGCCCTCCAGCCCTAACCCTAGGAAGAGGCAGGCCTCACCGTGCGACCTCCGATGTGGTCTGGTGATCAGCAAAAGGGCGCTTCAAAGAAAGAGGTTTGCCCCGTTTGCAATCATTGCAGGTGGTCAGGTGGTTGTTAAGCAAATCTTTCTTCCCCCTGGACTTGGCTTGTGAGCAGGCGGTGGGATGCAAATATTTTTTGCAACCGGTTCTGTGGGTGTGACCATGTGACTGGGTTTTTTTTTTGTTTTTTTTGCAGCACCCCCTACCTCAGGTTTGGGGTTTTTTTTGGCCTCCTGGGCCTCAGGGACACCACCTGGGGGGTGGGGGGAGCATTTTTGCTCACAGGAAGCTGCCCTGAGGCCCAGGAGGCCCAAAATGGAGCGCGGGGGTGGGGGGTGCGCAGCACAGCACACAGACACACACAGATGCACGCAGGCACCTTTTTGCTTCCTGGGCCTCAGGGAAGCCTCCTGGGCGAAGCAGTAAGACAGCCGAGGGGGATCCTGGAACAGCTGATCCTTGGAACAGCTGATCGTTGGGAGGAAAAAAATATATACCGTAAGGAGTGACAGGTGAGGGAGAATGCAGTCCGTGATGCGATAAGGACAGACGGAGAGGGGCAGCGCCAAGCAAGGGGCACGATTTGCCGCTCCTCCAAAGTGCGCAGAATCGTAACAGCCGGTTCTATAGAACCGGTCTGAACCTGTAGACTCCCACCCCTTTGTGACCCTGGGACACAGCAATCGTCGTAAGAATGAGTCCATTGCCAAGCCTCTGGATTTGGATCACAGGAGCGTGGGGAATGCTGCAACGGTCACAAGGGTGAAAAATGGTCATAAGTGACTTTTTTCCCCTCTGCCATTGTAATTTTGGTCACTAAATGAACTGTTGTAAGTCGAGACCTGTATTCCCAGTTGATTGCAAGGCAGGGTAAGGAATTCTGAGCTGACTGCCAATCTCGCCAGTGGATTTGCTGAACGGGTCTATGCAGATAGTCCTTGACTTACGACCACAACTGAGCCCGAAATTCTGTTGCTAAGTGAAACATTCTTTAGGGGAGTTATGCCCCATTTTACGACTTCCCTTGCCACATTTGTTAAGGGAATCCTTGCAATTGTTACATTAGTCATGCCGTTGTTAAATGAATACTCATTGACTTTGCTTGTCAATGAGAAGGTCGTATAAGGGGATCGAATTGGTTTAATCCCACCCCGGCTTGTGACTCTGGGATGCTGCGACCGTCGTAAATATGAACCACTTGCCAAGCGTCTGAATTTTGATCAGGTGACTATGGAGATGGTGCAACGGTCGTGAGTGTGAAAAACAGTCACAAGTCACTTTTTTTCAGTGCCGTTGTAACTTCGGTCACTAAATGAATTGTTGGTAAGTTGAGAACTACCTGTATTCTTCTTGCATTAAAAGAAAGGGGGTGGGTGCAACCACATGACCCAGGACTAATAGATTGTGAGACATCTCACCTTGCATACAAGTAGTCCTGAACTTAAAACCACAGTTGCGACCACAGTTTCTGCTCTTCAGCCAGGCAAATGTTAAGTCAGTGGCGCCCAATTCTGGGACCGTTTTTTGTCACCGTTGTTAAATGAATCGCTAGGAGTTGGTATGCTACTGAAGGTGACTCGCATACAACACGGCCTTTGCACATCTCTACCTTTGCTCACGTTTGGTGGAGGGGAAGGCAGGGGTGTGTTGGGCTACATTCTGAAAAGTTTTTTTAACAGACTAAACAGAGTTGGAAGGGACCTTGTAGGTCATCTAGTCTGACCCCCCACCCAAGCAGGAGACCCTACACTATTTCTGACAGTCCAGTCTCTTCTTAAAAGCCTCCAGTAATGAAGCTCCCACAACTTCTGAAGGAAATTTTTGTTCCAGGGGTTGATTGTTGTCACTGTCAGAAAATTCTTCCTTATTTCCAGGTTGAATCTCTCCTGGATCAGTTTCCATCCTTTATTCCTTGTCTGGCCTTCGGGTGCCTTGGAAAATAGCTTGACCTCTTCCTCCTCTCTGTGGCAGCCCTTCAAATATTGGAAAATGCTCTCATGTCTCCCCTGGTCCTTCTCTCCCCTAGACCAGCCATGCCCAGTTCCTGCAACCATTCTTCATATGTTTTACCCCCCTAATCATCCTGGTTGCTCTTCTCTGCGCTCTTTCTAGAGTCTCAACATCTTTTTTAAAGTGTGATGACCAAAACTGGATGCAATTGATCCAATCCAACCATGTTTAAAAATGATAGACTCAGCACAATCTGCAGAATAAATCACAATGCGTGTCCCATTAATGTAAAACAAGCCACAAGTAATTTTTGAGTTACGATGACACTCAGGGCCAGAATTTCCATTGTTAAGGAAAGTGATTGTTGAGTGGGTCATGCCAAATTTTGTGACATTTTTTTTTGCCAGGGTTGTTAAGTAAACGTTTTGCAGTTTTTAAGTGAATGACAAAGTCTTTAAGCAAATTTGCCTCTTCCCATTGCCTTTACATGTTGAAAGTTACTAAATTTACATGTTAGCTGGGAAGATCACGAATGGTATTTAGGATGCTGCAACATCATAAACACATGTCAGTTTCCAAGTGGCCATGACTGTGGGAATGTTGTCGCAATGATTATAAGTGCAAGGACCAATTGCAAATTGCTTTTTTTTTTTGGCTGTTGCTTTTTTCAGTGTCATTGTAACTTTGAATGGTTGATACATGAATGGTTGCAATACAATCTAATACAATCCTGGGTTGTATAAACAGAGGCATAGAATCAAGATTACATGAAGCATTAATACCACTTTGTAAAGCCTTAGTAAGACCACACCTGGAATACTGCAACCAATTTTGGTCATCACATTACAAAACATGTTGAGGCTTTGGAAAAAGTTCAGAGAAGAGCAACTAAGATGATCAAAGGCCTGGAGACTAAAACATATGAAGAACAGCTGCAAGACTTGGGTCTGGCTAAATCTAGAGAAAAGAAGAATTAGGGGTGACATGATAGCAGTATTCCAGTATTTGAGGGGCTGTTATTATTTACTATTATTTATGTATTATTTATGTTATTATTTGTCATAGTGTACACTGAAGATGGTATTTAATTTCGTTGTATGAGATGCAATGACAATAAAGTAAATTAAACTAAACTGCCACAAAGAGGGGGTCAAATTATTTTCCAAAGCACCAGAGGGCAGGACAAGAAACAATGGTTAGAAACTAACCAAAGAGAGAAGCAACCTGGAATTAAGGAGAAACTTCCTATCAGGGAGCAAAATTAACTGGTGGAACAGAACAGGGGTGGGATTCTACAGGTTCGCACCTATTCGCTAGAACCGGTTGTTAACATTCTAAGCAGTCTGGAGAACCGGTTGTTAGAAGAAATTACTGGCCTAATCCTGTAAGGAAGGCAGGAAGGAAACATTCTGGTGTTGCTTACAGAAACTGCCTCTCTGTTAACCCTTATTCCATTCTTGGCAGGACTAGACTTCCTGTCTCTGGAACTTCTCTGGAGTTTTTTTCCCCTCCTTTGCTGGTACTTTGCTTGTGTGGAGGGACCATTCAAAGTTACAGTAGCGCTGAAAAAATTGACTTATGACCCTTTTTCACACTTATGACTGTTGCAGCATCCCCACAGTCATGAGAGGCCAGGCAAGGAGATGTGTGCCTCAATGTGAGTGATATTGAGTTGACCACACCCAGCCAGTCACATGGCCATCAAGCCATGCCTACCACCTAAGCCACGCCCACAGAACCAGTTGTTAAAAATTTTGAATCCCACCCCTGGAACAGAAGTTGCCTTCAAAAATTGTGGGTGCTTCATCACTGGAGGCTTTTAAGAAGAGACCAGACCGTCACTTACCTGAAATGGTATAGATTCTCCTGCTTGAGCAGGGGGCTGGACTAGAAGACCTCCAAGGGCCCTTGCAACTCTCTTATTCTATTCTAATTTGGGGATTATGTGCATTAGGCTCGTTACATCCCTGTTGCCAAGCTCCTAAATTAAATCATATGAACCACAAGGACACTGTGATGGTCGTAAGTCCAAGAACTGCTTGTAAGTCCCTGTTTCCAGTGCCTTTGTCCCTTCAAACGGCCACTAAACAAATGGTCCTAAGTCCAGAACGACTTGCAGTAACATCATCTAAAGTCGCTTTGGCCACTAAACGAACTGTTTTGAAGTCGAGGACTTGGTCTTCGGATGAGGAAGTTTGAAGGCCTGTCTAGTGACAGTTAATCTGTGTTCCATTTCAGGAGGCACTTCCAGGATGGCAGCCAGGATGGATGAGTGGGTGGGCTGTGCTTACCTCTTTGTCCAGGTAAGCTCGGAAAAGGTCTTTCTGCCTACCCTCTACAGAAGCCCACAGCAGAAGCCCTGCGTGTACAAAGCGTTGAAGTTGGCGTTTGCAGGTACGTCGATTGCATTAGTCTTGTTTCCACCTACCCTACACGTTTATGCTCAGAGGGAATCAGTTGTCCAGTTCTTGGCTAAACAGCTCAGATTTTTTTCTTCTGAGTTCAAAATGTTTCCATTTGTGTAAATAATACTACCCTGTGTAAATAATAATAATAATAATAATAATAATAATAATAATAATAATAATGACAGCGTACACAGAAAATGAGAGAACTATGATGGGTTTCGTATCACAAATCATTAGTTGAACACTTCCCAAGCGTTTAGGTGGCCTTCTGCAGCTGACCAATGGTGATTTTGTCAGTGCCAATTGTTTTCAAGTGCTTGCCTGGGTCTTTAGGCATAGCAGCATCCAGTGTGCCCAGTACCACTGGAACCCCCTGCACTGGTCTATGCCAGAGTCTCTGCAGTTCGATTCTCAAGTCCTGATATCTGGTGATTTTTTCAAGTTGTTTCTCATTGATTCTGCTGCCACCAGGTATGGTAACGTCGAGGATCCACACTTTTTTCTTCTCCACAATCGTAATATCCGGGGTATCCTGGGCATCTGTCGACAAGTGGGCTACAGGACACGGGTCCCATAGCTGAGCAACCAGGGCCTGCAGGGCTACTGGAAGCTGAACGACCTCAGAAGCGGCAGAAATACACCATGTCAGAGAATCGCACTGGAATGAAAAGCTACTACAAAGCAGAACCAGAAAAAATGTATGTCTGACGCTACCTGAACAGTCCCTAGGTCCTTGGTTAGGACTCGAGCTGTTGAGCTACCAATCAACCCCAAAGGCTGTGAATCTCACTAAAGATTAACCAATAATAATACTAATAACAATATTGGCTAAGAGCAGAAAAGTTAAAAAAAGAGACTGAGGGATTAATTTTGGCTGTGCAAGACCAAGCCTTAAGGACAAATGTATACAAAGCCAGAATTGAGAAGACAGGAACAGATAGTAAGTGCCGCCTAGGCAAAGAAGCTGAAGAAACAGTAGACCACCTGGTAAGCTGCTGCCAGAAGATTGCACAAACTGACTACAAGCCGCAGCACGGCAAAGTAGCAACCATGGTGCGTTGAAAGATCTGCAAGCAATATCATTTGCCTTGTAAGCAAGAACTGGTGGGACCATAAAACAGAAAAAAGTCATAGAAAATGAAAAAGTTAAACTAACACCCAGGACTTAACGGTTGTCAATAAGAAAGAGAAAATAAAGTCTGGATAGTGGATGTGGCAGTGCCTGGAAACAGCAGAACAGAAGGGAAAGAGCTGGAGTGGATAACAAAATACAAAGACCTACAAATAGAAGTAGAACGATTATGGCAAAGGCAAGCACGGGTAGTACCAATGTTAATAGTTAATAGGTACAGTCCCAAAACAACTGGAGCACCCCTTGAACACCAACGGTGGCATTGACAAATTGGCCATCAGTCAATTGCAGAGGCAGCTTGACGTGGAACAGTTTCTATCCTGCGATGATATCTGTAACGCCATCAAACATCCAAATTTGCCCAGGTCCTTGGTAAGGACTCGATAGGTAGACAAAAATACCAAACCCAATCTGAACATCTGGCTGACTGTGTGATGAATAATGATGATGATAACAACAACAACAACAAAATAATGTTGATGATAATACTTAGAAGATACTTGGTCAGTACCTAGAATGCTGGCGACAACCCATATTAACCATTAGTGCCAGTTAATATTTGTGATACATTTTGAAATGTCCAGTTGACTTGAGTTTCATGTTTAATGAATAAAGTATATAATAATAATAGTTTCCTGCCTTGATCTTTTGAGTCATGTTTGCAGAAAGAGTTTACACCCAAGGTGTTTCTGCTTCTGTGACCATAGCCACAAAGTTAAGAGTAGATGAGTCACCACCTACTTATCTTTGAACTTTTACCTCCAGAAAGGAAAAATTGGGGGAAAGAATGGGGAAGGTTTGAAGAGCGGGAGCTACATTTTGCTATTGTAAATAATATTTGGAAAACTGAGCTCAGCCTTGTACAGATGCACCTAATAAGGGCATTGGAAGGAACAGGGCTTATATTTAGGCATATATTTCCTTCAGAAGAAGAGAGTAAGAAAAGTTAAACATCTGAATTAATAATATAATAACAGTATATAATAACACCTGGTTGACTGTGACCAACTATAATAATAATTGACCAACCTTCAATAATAATGTTGTGCCACCTGACTCCGTGCAACTCCCGGTACAAAGTGTTAAAAAGAAGGCTATACACAAAGGAACAAAGATTAGGTAGAGATGACAAAACCCAGATGGAAACAAGGATAAATACAGGATATAGAATAACTGAGTTGGAAGGGACCTTGGAGGTCATCTAGTCCAATTGTCTGCTCAAGCAGGAGACCCTGCTAGACCATTTCAGATAAGGGATTGTCTCCTTCAAAACCTCCAGTGATGGAGCACCCACAATTTTTGAAGGCAAAGCTGTTCCTTTGGTTAATTGTTCTCACTATTAGAAAGTTTCTCCTTATTTCTAGGTTGAATCTCTCTTTGATGAGCTTCCATCCGTTACGTTTTGTCTCGCCCCCAGGTCCTTCGGGAAATAAGTCAAGCCCCCTCTTCCCCCTCACAAGCCCCTCAAGTATTGGAAGGCAGCTATCAGGTCACCTTTCATCCTTTTCTTCATTAGACTAGACATACCTAGTTTCCTTAACCATTCATCCGATGGCTTCGGACCCTTAACATCTTTTTTGCTGTGCTACATAAAGCTAACAAGGGATCTGGAAGCTCAGCCAAGTTGGGTATAAGGTGCTCGGTGTAAGTGCATAAACAGCCTTTCCCTCAAAGCCAGCTTGTTTTGATTCAGAACTTGGTTTGTTTCCCATACAGGTTTGTTTAACCATTGATTGAATAAGCTCTCATTGGCTTGGGGCGTATATGTGTTCTTAATCATAGCTTACAAAACCGTCAAAATAACCAAGTTCTGAAAACAGTACGCTCAGCAGCAGGCAAGCACAGGGTCGAAGTCCAATCGAAAGATGGAGGCGAAATGTCTGCGGTACCTATCCTTCCTTCTCCCAGTCATCAGAACTGATGAAGCTTCTTGGATGAGAAGGGAAATGTTTTCTTCATCTTCCTCAAGGAAAGAAACAGGCCAGTTGCCTTTTGAAGCAACAAAATAAGCCCCGTTGAGACACGAGGGCAAAATGCTCTAATGTCATCATCCACAACCAAAGGAATTGAGCAGTAGGGTTGCCCTTCTAAGACTTGAAACCAGAAAATAACAAAAGTTATCATTAAATATGCTTTTCTTCTGGAGAGGTTTATACTTCCTTCCAAATACAGCCAGCATTGATTACAGCAGAATCCAGAAAGTGCGTATCAAGAGTAGCAACCTACACCTAAGTGGAACGCTTGTTCCAGAATACATCACCCCTCCCAAGGAACTCTTCCAAACAATCAAAATGAATTTTGTCTAATTTTTGACTTGCTGCTTGTCTTGCCCAACATTTCAGGACTGCAGAGTCAGGAGCATTCAGAAAGGGTTCCAAGAACCTGGTGTGATGACGCAAGTTGACCTCTGAAGACTTCTGCTTTTCTTCTTCCTCCTCTTCAGAAATGCCCCTAGCTGATCTCTCACAAGCTCCTTCTCCAGAGAGGGTTTATTCAAGGACACAACCATTGACTGTAGCAGCGTTTTTCAAACCTGGGAACTTTAAAAGATACGGGCTTCAGCTTCAGATCCCAGAATTCCCCAGCTGGTCTTCTGGAAGTTGAAGTCCACGCATCTTCACATTGCTAAATTTGAAAGGCACTGGCTTAGATCTTCTGCTGCAGCCACCATCAGTCAACCATCGGACTCACCTTCTGTTTTTCCCTTCTTTCCTCCACAGATTCCACAGGGGGATTTAACGGGCTGGATATTCTGAAGGTCCATAGTAGTGACCCACATTTGATCATCCAGCTCAAGTTCCACAAGCAAGAGAACTGCCGAAAGTTCCTGCAAAGCTACCATCAAGGAGAACTTCAAGAAGCTCTCCAGAGGCATCTCAAGGTCTTTTTGGCCTTGCCCAGCCTGGAGCCCCTCAAGACGGAGCTGAGGGCTGGTGCTGAAAAGTTGGATTCCATCATCCAAGAAGAAGAACGTTGTCTGGAGACCATCTCTCGGGAGAAGGTAAGGGTCAGACTCTGAAATGGGGTGGCTTGTTATCACTTCGGAGAGACAGCCACTAAAATGCTGGCCCAGTGTCCACATAAACAAAGGTCCCGTTGCCTTCTGGAAAGCCTCCAGTGATGAAGCTCCCACAACTTCTGAAGGCAATTGTTCCATGGGTTGATTGTTCTCAGTGTCAGAAAATTCCTCCTTAGGTCCAGGTTGAATGTCTTCTTGTTCAATTTCCATCCATGATTCCTTGTCTGGCCTTCAGGTGCTTTGGAAAATAGCTTGACCCCTTCCTCTCTGGGGCAGCCCCTCAAATACTGGAAGGCTGCTCTCCTGTCTCCCCTGGTCCTTCTCTTCCCTAGACTAGCCAGGTCCAGTTCCTGCAACCGTTCGTTGTTTGTTTTAGCCTCCAGTCCCCTAATCATCCTGGTTGCTTTTCTCTGTACTTTTTCTAGAGTCTCAACATCTTTTTTATAATGTGGTGAACAAAATTGGATGCAGTACTCTAGGTGTGGCCTTACTAAGGCTTTATAGGGTGGTATTAGTATCTCCCTTGATCTCGGTTGTTTGCCTCTGTTAATGCAACTTAGGATTGCATTGGCTTTTTTGGCTGCTGCTGCACACGGCTGGCTCATATTTAGCTGGTTGTCCATTAAGACGCCAAGATCCCTCTCCCAGTTCCTGCTATTGAGCCTGATTTCACCCAGTCTACATGTGTCCTTTTGGTTTTTCTTGCCTAAGTGTGGGACTTTACTTTTCTCTACATTGAATTTCATTTTGTTAGATACTGCCCAGTGTTCTAGTCTGTCAAGATCCATCTGGATCTTGAGCCTATCTTCTCGGGTGTTAGCTATTCCTGCCTTTCTCAACCAAGCATTCTAACTCTCCTTGTTTTAAATCTGAGCAGTTTTATAATGCTTTGGAAAGAACACACTTGGAATACCGCATCCAGTTTTGATCACCAGTATATAAAAAAAGATATTGAGATGCTGGAAAGAATGCAGAGAAGAGCAATAAGAATGATGAGGGGACTGGAAGCTAAAACATATTAAAAAAGATTGCAGGAATTGGGCTGGTCTAGCCTAGTAAAAAGAAGGACTAGAGGTGATGTGAGCAGTGTTCCACTAATATGAGGGGCTGCCCTAAAGAAGAGGGAGTCAACGTATTCTCCAAAGCACCCGAGGGCAGGACAAGAAGCAATGGATGGAAACTAATCCAGGAGAGAAGCAACTTAGAACTAAGGAGAAATTTCCTGACAGTGAGAACAACTGATCAGTGGAACAACTTGCCTCCAGAAGTTGTGGGGACTCCAACACTGGAAGTTTTAAAGAAGAGATTAGATGGCCATTTTCCAGAATGTATACGGCCTGAGCAGTGGGTTGGGCTAGAAGACCTCAAGAGTTCCCTTCCTATTCTGTTAGTCAGATTAGAAAAATGCTAACTAATGCATGCAGCAAAGAAAGAAAATAATTTACAGGACCTTTCCCCGCATCCTTCTCCTTGTCTTTTCTTTTTTGAAGCCGAATCATCTCAGAGATGAAGAAGTAGCAGAGTTGGAAGCATCCCTGATGAATCTGACTTTTCAAGAAAGCAACTCGAAATCACAGCTCTCTTCAGAGTCTTCCTTCCACACTTTAAATTCCTCCCCTCCATCTTCCAGCCCTCCGGAGATTTCAAAGCCTCCGGTGGAAGAAGATACCTTCTTTTTCCAGAAGCAACAATTTGGTGAGTGTGGCAGGGACTAGAGACAAAAATGCTGGGCAGAGATAAGGAATGGAAGGCCGTCCCCGGTACAGGCATGTTCAGTAGGTTCTCCACAAGGATTTACAGGTAATTCTCAACTTCAAGCAGAGGTGGGATTCCACCGGTTCTGTCCGGCTCTGTAGAACCGGTAGCTCTGAAGAGCAGCAGACATAGAACCGGTTCTATGTCTGCTGCTGTTTTGGACCACCCGCCCGCCCAGGCTCTTACCTGACCTTTATTTCCTGCTTTTTCAAATGCTGCTTCCCTGCACGCAGCGCTGCTCAGCTGTCCAGGCAGCAAGCAGACAAAGATTTACACAGGCGCGCAGCGTGCAGGAAAGCACATTGTAAATCACTGAACCAGGAGTTAACCCTGTCGGATCCCACCCCTGACTTAAAACCATTCATTTAGTGACTGTTCCAACTGACAGAGGCACTGAAAAAAGCAACAGGGTCATTTTTCACACTTTTGTGTGTGTGTGTATGTGTGTATGTATGTTTCTTCATCTAATTTCTACCTCTTATCTCTAACCACTTGTAAAATCTATTCCATGCTAAGTAATAATTCTGTGTCTTCTTTGTCCTTTATTTTTAACATCAGTCTATCCATCTCTGCACAGTCTAATATTTTCCGAATTACATCCTCATCTGATGGAATGTTCTCATTTTTCCAATATTGTGCAAATACAATCCTTGCTGCTGTCAATGCATACAAAACTAGATATATAGCCCCTTTATCATAGCCCTCTGGCAATATACCCAACAAAAGTAGTTCAGATCTATATGTTGCTTGATCATCTTTTCCAACCAATGTATGTATTTTTGTCCAATATTTTCTTGTTTTCGTGTAAGTCCACCACATATGATAATAAGTACCTGAGGTCTGATTACACTTCCAACACTTGGCAGACATATTGCTAAACATTTTTATTAATCTTGCTGGTGGCAAGTGCCATCTATAAAACATTTTATAGAGATTTTCTTTGTATGCAGTAGCCATTGTCAGTTTATACTTCCTATCCCAAAATTTTGCCATTTATCTAATTCTATAGTATAACCAATTTTTTTGCCCAATCATTGTTTTTTTGACTTGTTCCTCTTCCGTTTTATAGTAATTATATATACTGTATTTTTAATCAATTTTTCATCTGTCCCTGATAATATCTTATGAAGCGTTGTTGATTCTTTGTAAAAAAAACCCATGTTTTTGCATCTTTCTCATATCTCGACTATATTTGCAGATGTGGCCACCAAGCTAAGTCCACTCCTTGGTTTTGTAATTGTTGTCTAGTTTTAAGTTCACCATTCTCATTTAAAATGTCTTTATAAAATACATTTTTTCCCCAAAAATTAGTAAGATTTGGATGTATCAATGCTTCCATTGTGGAGAGCCAGACTGGTATTTTCATATTGTTTTGTAGTTTAATATTTTCCCATACCTGGAGCAAGGCATTCCTCACATAGAGTCTTTGAAAATATCTATGTATCGTACTCCTTCCATACCATAAAAAAATGTTGGACGTGGAGAAATGGAAGAATTTATAACTATCTTTGATGGGGAGAATAGCCACTTTAAAAATGAATATGCTACCGAAACTACTTTTCTTAAAATTCCAAACAATACCGACAAAAATAGAGAAAAAATATTTTGAAGAACTAAATAGAACAATCTTGAAGTATATCTGGCAAAGGAAAAAAGCAAGAATAAAATCATTTTTCACACTTATGACGGTTGCAGCATCCCTTGTGGTCACGTGATCAGAATTCACCTGCTTGGCAACTGGCATATTTTTATGACCCAGGCTCACGTGATCATCTTTTGGATGGTTGTCAGGTTGACTCAGCCTTCCGTCCTTCCAAGGTGGGTAAAATGAGGACCCAGATTGTTGGGGGCAGGAGGCTGACTCTGTACACTGCTTAGAGAGGGCTGGAAAGCGGTATATAAGTTTAAGCGCTATTGCCCTTCCATCAATCCATCATCCATCTATTACGTGCAGTGATTAGACTGCAGTATTGGAGGCTGACTCTGCCCACTGCCAGGAGTTCAATCCTGACCAGCTCAAGGTTGACTCTTCTGAGGTCAGTAAAATGAGGACCCAGATTGTTGGGGGCAAGAGGCTGAGTCTGTATACCACTTAGAGAGGGGTATAAAGACCTGTGAAGCGGTATGTAAGTGTTGTGGTCCACCGGCCACCCAACTTTAAACTCAGACAAGCTGTGGAAAAGCACCAGGGAGGAAGGAGACGAGAAAGGCAGAGGGCGGGACTCTGGCGCAGTTGTTGTGGTCTGCCGGCAGCAGAGTCGGACAGTGGGGAGGAACATGGGCCAGTCCAGGAGTCTGGGGAGGGCTCGGATGAGGGATCTGAGAGTTATATGTTGACTCCGGAGCCTTCAGAATCTGACATCAGCGAGGCAGAGGAACAGGGGGAGCCTGTTCCCAGTGCGCGCTTGCGCAGAGCTGCCAGAAGGCAAGAACAGTTAAGACAAAAGGGGCGACTCAGGAGTAAGGCTTGGAGATGATTGGCCCGTCTCATAAGACATAAAGGAGGAGCAAAGGGACAAGAGCCTTTGCAGGAAGCAACTTTGTTCGTTCTGGTTGGTTTAGAGTTTGAAGCGCCATGTTTACTTTGTTCTCCGCTTGTACAGCTAATTGGCAATTTAGTCGTTGGCAGCATTTCAAGGGAGATAAAGGTGTGTGTTTATTAGCCTTATCCCAAAGGACTGTGGCAGACTTCTGTTGGACTATTCACCAACTGTTTGGGATGCATTACGGGCTGTGAATGCATATAATTCACAGCCATTGAAATTTTAAAAAGGGCCTTAGGAACAGCGTGTGATTGTTACTGTCTCAGGAAGCCTTGGTCGGAACAATAAGTCTAAATGCTATTTACACTTATTTGCGACCTTCTGCCAAATAAAGTCAATGGGGAAGCCAGATTCATTCTACAGCCACGTTACTAACTTAAATTAACAACTGTGGTGATTCACTTTAACGAAAAGGTCGTAAAAGGTCGGGTTGGATTAGATGACCTACAAAGTCCCTCCCAAACTCTGTTAATCTTAATCTAATCTCTAATCTCATAACCTTTGTCAACAAGAGGTATGCAAGATGTTAAAATCATCTTATTTCCCGGCTTCCCTTTTGCAGCCAACAGAAAAATCACCCCCGATGACCACCAGAAGTTCGCCAAACTGGTGTCCAAGAAATGGAAACAGGTGGGCCGGTCCCTCTACCTACAGACCAAATGCCGAGCCCTCCGGGACCCCTTCATCGATAACCTAGCCATTGAATACGAACGCGAAGGCCTGTACGAACAAGCGTACCAGATGCTTCGCAGGTTTATTGACTCAGAGGGCAAGAAGGCCACCATTCAGAGCCTGATGGCTGCCTTGGAAGACAATGGCCTCATCAGTTTAGGTGAAGAACTTTTGGGTCTCCACCAAAGTGACTCGTGAAGAAGAAGAAGGGGGGAAAAAAAGAGTCTTTTTTTGGAGACTGCTAGCTTTACAGTGTGATTGATCCTCCCATACTGGTCTTTCTTGTGCATCGGATTCAACGATGGCTTCTCCCTACGATTGTTTCCCAACAAGAATCAAGTTCAAAATCTTGAAGTCAAACTGGAAGATCAAGCACAGTTTCCACAAGAAATTGCAAAGCCTGCTCTAGAACAGGAGGTCCCCAAACTTGGCAGCTGAGAGAATTCTGGGAGAATTAAGACTGAGAGAATTCTGGGAGTTGAAGTCCACAAGTCTTAAAGTTGCCAACTTTGGAGACCTCTAGAAAGAGCAGTGGGCCTTCTAATTGGAAAGGAGAAAGATGGCCTGCCCAGGCACTGTCCGATTTAGGAGATCCGTAGCACAGGGCAGGGTGGGTAGAATAAGAAGGAATGGGTCCTTCTCAGAGGGAGATCCAACCTGGAAAGAAGGAGGAATTTCCTAACAGTGAGAACAATTAATAACAGAACTTTCTGGAGTTGCGGGCGCTCCATCATCGAAGGTTTCCAAGAAAAGATTGGACAGTCTTCTGTCCTGGATAGTATGTGGTCTCCTGGCATTGGATTAGTTTGACCAAAAGACTTCCAAAGCCCCTTCCAGCCCTATGGTTCTATGATTCTCCCTTATTGCCCCAATCATGATCAAATGGCAGATTTAACCTTGGTGTTCTCCTGGTCTTCAAGAGGCCTTCTGAGTAACTAAGGAGACCATTAGTTCAATAAAGAATAGCCCAGATTTATTTTCATTTTCAACTCATGACATTCCATTCTTTGTATGTGTGTGATTCAATCAACTACAGATCAGGCATTCTCTGTCAACGTTGGGAAATGTATGAATCCTCCAGATATCAGCCAAGCAACTGAAGAGATCCTTGTTTCCTAAATAGATTTTATTATATTACAAAAATACCTCAGGGGAACCATTTCAAGGAGACCTTGAGCTACGAGCTCTGGATTGATACGAACTTGGTCTACTTGCTGTTTGAAGGACTTAAATCAGGAATGTCCAATCTGGCAACTTTAAGACTGGTGGACCAGTCTTCTACCAACTTCTTTCAGAGCTGGCTGGGGAATTCTGGGAGTTGAAGTCCACAAGTCTTAAAGGTGGACATCCTGCCTTGGATGTTCACATTGAAAGCCAACAGATAGGGAAGACTGATAAAGATGAATTATTCCTTCATAAACACAGTAATGAGTTGAGTAGGCAAGTCTGGCCCATCCCTGGGTCACGTTTACACTAACAGATTTTTTTACGCTGATATTTTCAATCTCTTTTGAGTTATTCAAGAGGATGCTTCTATACCAGTGTTTCTCAGCAATTTTAAGCAATTTGGAGTTCAATTCTGGGAGTTGAACTCCAACCCCCTTAAAAGTTACCAAGGTTAAGGAACTAAATCTTCTAGGATTCCAAACATTTTTCTCTGATTTTGGAAAACTTGTCAGCACATTTCCTTGAAACAAGACGAGTCTCAGGTATTTAGGATAGAACTGTTGTATTTTCTTCAAATCCAATTTTTTTAAAGCAGAAATTTGATATATTTTTTTTGATTCGAAAAAACACTTGGTCTGCATGAGAATGATCTGACTGTTTTTTTTAAAGTTGAACAGGGAAATTGAGCACATGTTCACTTTAATCTTTATAGTTGCTGTGCTTAATTGCTTGCGTCTCTTAGTCTTTTCATTAGTGCTAAAACATGGAGCCACATTTAACATATTAGCACTACAAGGCTGTAATGCTAGATCAAATACTAACAGTTATAATTTGACAATGATTAAAACCTCATCTCTTTTACCTTAAAAATAAAAACCAAGAGGATATAATGCTATAGTGCTATTTCTTTTAAATCGAGGAGGAAAACTTTCTGTTGCACTGCTTCTGTTTTGCTAAAAGATTTTGGCTAAGACTTTTAACATCTTATTGTAAATGACTGTTAACTTCTAGAATCGTACTCATTCCACTAATATTTCACTATATGTTCTTTTTAATCAGAGCTGTATATTTGTTTTAATTCAAAGCAATTAAAAGGCAACAATATCAATATCCTGGTTGCCTACCAGAGATTTTAATAAAGATGTGGTAATATTCAAAATATATTTGTTTCCCATCAAATCATGCAGAGAATACCAGAAGGAAGAGCATGAAAATAATGAGCATTGTGGCATTTTTTAAAAAAAACATTTATAATTCTGCTTATAGCTGAACAGCAGAAAAACTATTGCTTAGACTTATTTTTCCAAGCTGCTACAAGTAATCCTGAAAGTGGTGTGGTAGCCTGGAGATGGAGCTCTCGCCTCATGATCAGGAGGCTGTGGGTTCAATCCTAGATAGAGGCAGCTATTTCTCTTGGCGCACTGAGAATATATTTGTTGAATAAAACTCCACATTGGTGACAGGAAGGGCATCCGGCCAGTAAACACTCAGCTGCATTCAATTGCCCAGATTCCATCCTGCAAGGGATTATGGGGTCATTAAAAGAGGATGATGATGATGACTACAGGTAATCCTGACTTAATTTGTTTAGTGACCATTCAAAGTTACAACGCCACTAGGGAGAAATGGCTTGTGGCCCATGTTTCACATAACCACTGTAGCATCCCTATGATCACATGAACAAAATTCAAATAATTGACAACTGGCATATATTTATGATAGATGCTGTATTCCAGAGTCATGTGATCCCCTTTTGAGACCTTCTGACAAGCCAAGTTGGCGGGGAAGCCAGATCCACTTAACAACCGTGTGACTAACTTAACGACTGCAGTGATTCACTTAACAACAGTGGCAAGGAGGTCATAAACGCAGGCAAAACTCAACTATCTCACTTAGGAAGAGAAATTTGGGGTTCAATTGTAAATCAAAGACTTATTAATTTTGTACTAATGTTTAATTTTCATCCTTTGAACTATTTTGCTGTATGTCAGCCCTTCTAATGCAACTAGTGGATAGAATTGGATTTGTTTCCTTTTTAGCATTCAATGTGGAAACAGTGTTGGTTTTTAAATCAAAATAAACTAATGCTCTGTTCAGCATTAAAAATGAGTGAACTGAACTATAATCAGGCAATTATAGCTATTGCGGATTATATAGAAATCTGTCAATTTCACTCACCATTCCTTCATAATATATTGCATTTTAATCTCTCCACCGAAGTCCTGTTTTTCAAGCTCTAATAATTTCCCTTTGGACAATGAGCTACATCTAATATGATTCTTTAAAAAAAAAAAGGTTTAATGTTTTTATTTTATTCATAAAATAAAAAATAAGACACAAACTAGGAAAGTAAATGGGAAAACAGTGGGGAGGAAGAGGCAGGAGGAAGCGGATAAGAAGAAAAAAAAAAAGAAAAGAAGTGTTGACTTTCTGACTCTCTCCGTTGCAGTAAAATAAGGCACTAACATCAAATCACACCTTTTTGATTTTGGTTGTCATCAGAACATCAACAAGCCATTTCTACAAAGATCTATCAAGCGAATCGGTAAAACCCACAATCAGAGTTTCATTCTTTTCCACTTCAAGCCCCACAAGCCGTCTCCATGTGGAAACAAAAGGACTGATATTTCTTTTCTTCCATCAAAATAGTCAAAGCCTCCCCCTATCCCGTGTGTGTGTGTGTGTGTGTGTGTGTGTGTGTGTGTGTGTGTGTTCTGGCTTAGAAAGCACTCGAAGCCAGGGGTCTCCAACCTTGTTGGGAGTGCAATGAGATGCAATGACAATAAAGTAAACTAAACTAAAACTAAACTAAACTTGGCAACTTTACAACTTTTTGGACTTCAGAATTCTGGGAGTTGAAGCCCACGAGTCGTAAAGTTGCCAAGGTTGGAGACCCCTGCTCTAAGCCTGGAACTTGGGAGGGGGGTGGGGTGTCCCCTTCCTTCAAAGGTGGAAGTTCTGCCAGAAGTGTACCATGAGGATATTTTTTTTAAAAAAAGAAAACAAATAGCTGAATTAGTAATCTTTCTAGTTCTGGCAAGGCAATTCAGCAGAGGTTCTGTGTACCGAACAATCCCCATCTGTGTGCAGATCCTGCCAATTATTATTATTATTATTATTGCTGCTTCTGGCAAACATCTGTATGGGGCAGGCTACCAAGCAGATAGACAAGCCTTTTGACCCAAAACATCTGCTAGAGGTCACGTGAGCAGGACCAGAGGAAGATCTGCCTTTTTCTCAGGCAAAAGAACTGAGATTTTCTTTCACCAGAGGCGCGCAACGCGGGGAAGCCGTCCTTGGATAGCAAAAGGAGTGGGGAAGAAGAGGAGCGGAAGAGGCGAGGGCGAGCCCTTTTCCCATGTCATCCTCTTTAGAGAAAGCAGACCCTCGGTGAAATGCACCAGAAAGGGGTAAAAACAGAAGCGCTCTTCCTACAGCTCGGCTACGTTTTCCAAACTATACGTCGAGAGGAACGCCAGAAGTAACACGATCCAGATGTGCCAACTTGGCAACTGCGGGACGGAGCCTTAACGGAGCAGAGGCGGATGTTGGGAAGGCTGTAGAGGTAAGAGTTGAGGCTTTGCAACGGATTGGGAGGATTTGCTTCGACTGGGTGACTGACACATTTGGAAAGGAGGGGATCCCACTTTTCTCTTGGCGTTCTGCAATACTTTAGGGCGGGGTCTTGCTTCCCCCATCAGCAAAAGGGGGTAAAAAGCCCCTACCATCCCAAAAACGCCTTCCCTGTTCCTTGGGACAGGGCTGAGCTGATCTCCCAGGGAGTCAAGAAAAAAAGGTTTATTTTCCAAGTGTTTCCAAATTTTAGGGATGCGTCTGCTCAAAGGACCACCCCCCACTCCCCAAAATAAGCCTATCTCCCCCGCATCATAGATTTAAGAACGCTGCCTTCCTAGGGAACGAAATGCAAAACGTAAAATAAATAAAAAGAAACAAAAAGGCATACATTCAACCCTAACAACAAGAAGAAAACAGTGTACTAAAAAAAGAGAGAGAGGAAAAAGTGGTCAATTAAATTTAACATTGAAATCTATGATAAAACAATAAATATTTTTTTTAAAAAAATAACTTTGCATTCCAAATAGCAAAACTGCAGAAGAAGCTATTTTGTAACTTCAGCCAGGCTAATGATCTTGGAAATTGATGCATGCATATGCGTGCAACGGGAAAGCTGAAAAAAGATCAAAAATGCAATCGGGGTTTTTAAGAGCAATATTTTCTCCATGTTATCTCTTCCCACGCTCTTTTTCCAGTCTCCACAGGAAAGCAATGAGACAAGAATCCTTGATTTGTAAAAAAAATATCAGATGTAACCACCTTAAATCAAGGAGGGAAACAGCCTAGAATTTAGGGGAAATTTCCTAATAATGAGAACAATTAAGCAGTGGAAGTCTAAAAAAGATTAAGGGGGACATGCATGATTGCTTCTCTTCCAATACTTGAGAAGCTTGTGATGGGGAAGAGTGCGTTGACTTATTTTCCAAGGCACCTGAAGGCCAGTCAAGGAATAATGGATGGAAACTGAACAAGGAGAGATTCAATCTGGAATTAAGGAGAAACTTTCTGACAGTGAGAACAATCACCCCATGGAACAGAAGTTGCCCTCGGAAGTTGTGGGAGCTTCATCCCTGGAGGCTTTCAAGAAGAAACTGGACTGCCATTTGTCAGAAATGGTGTAGGGTTTCCTGCTTGGGCAGTGGGTTGGACTAGATGACCTACAAGGTCCCTTCCAACTCTGATTATCTGTTATCTGTTAAGAAAAGCCATTTGTCTGAGATGGAATAGAGTTCTCTATTTGAGCAAGGGGTTGGACTAGAAGACCTCCAAAGTCCCTTCCACCTCTTAAATGTATAAGAAAGCCAACACTGGGTTGAGCTGCTGCCAGGGAGAATAGAATTAGGCAGGCACCTTGTAATTTAAAATGCAGGCAGTCCTTGACTTATAACCTTCCTTTAGCAACTATTAAAAGGTACAGGCTATAGTGATTAGATCTGCATGGGCTCTTAAAAGTGAAGACAGCAGAATGAAACAGAATGTGAGATGCAATAAGATCCATTCCTTTTGCAACGAGTCAAAAAGTTACAACAGCCCTGAGCAAAAGTGACTTATGACCAGTCCTCGCATTTATGACCATTGCAGCAGCCTTGTTGTCACATGATCGGAATTGGGACACTTGGCAAATCAGTATATGCATCCACAGTGTCTCCAGGTCATCTGATCGCCACATGAAATGTTATTCTGGAATTTCTGCTGAATTCCTTACTTGCCTCCGCAGGACGCTAAGTTGAGTCGTCTGGAAGCATGTGCTGAATACATTTACCGAGTTCCTATCACGCCCATAATCGGTTTCTTAAATTGACTTAAAGGCCACAATTCAACCAAACGTTTTTGTGGCTAAGCAAGTTCAGCTCTTTAAAGTGGATTCTGCCCCAAGCTTACGACCTTTCCTTGCCACCGTTGTTAAGTGAATCACGGCAGTTGTTTCAGATCGTAACATGGCTGTTCAGCAAATCTGGCTTCCCGGTTGACTTTTGCTTACCAAGAGGTTGCAAAAACACACACCAATTGCCAAGCGTCCAAATCTTTGATTGTATGACCACGTGGCAATGGTCATAAATGTGAAAAACAGTCATCAGTCACTTTTTTCAGTTCTATTGCAGGGTGGGGTTTCAGCTGGTTCGCGCCAGTTCCCCCAAACCGGATGTTAATATCTCGTTCAGCAGAACCGGTACTTCCGATGACTGGCTGGCCCTGCCCACCCCACTCCCCCCCCATCCCAGGAGCCCCCACGTGGCCTATTTTGCATTGCAGGTAAATGCAGGGCCTGTGTGGAGGCTCTGGAAGGCCAGAAACAGGCTTCCAGAGAGAGCCTTCGGAGCCCCGGGAGGGCGAAAACGCCCCCCCCCCCCGCGGCCTGTTTCCATTCCCAGGGTGGTGCAGGGAGGCTCACTAGGTTGAAAATGGGGCGTGGGGGGTGGGTGCAGCACACCCCCGTCCCCCGCAGCCTTTTTTTCGCTCCCAGAGTTGTTAAATTATTTGGAGCCCACCCCTGTTCTATTGTAACTTCAGACGCTCACTAAACAAATGGTTGTAAGTTTAGGATCCCCTGCGTTTGACTTATTTCTGAGTTTGTGCAATAGTTGAACCATGCATTAACCTCCTAGATAGGTCAGCAAACAAACTATGATGCGCGTGCAACTCACTCGGTCTTTTAACTAACTGGGTTTGAGTGTTTTATGCCAACAGAGCGGCTGAATAAGTGCCAATCCTTCAAGAAACGTGAAATAAGGGGATATTAGAGGGTTTCTTTGAAGAGAATGTACACATTTTAACTTTTCCTGGGATGAATCCCTATGCTTCAAATAGCAAAACCCTTGTGGTGCAGAATTTAAACAACTCTCCCCCCGCCTCTACGTAATATTTAGACAAGTTGAAGATAACATTGGGCAGGCATAGCATTCCAGGAAATGTGGAAAAAGAAAATAGTCAGGCCCTTATATGCCTAGAGATTTTTTTTCCTGAACCCATCTTATTTTTTTACTTTGGCTGGTGAATAGGGGAAGACAGTAAATCAGTCTGGGTCTGAAGTGGTTTTCTTTGCACTGGGTTTTTCCCCCCCATGCAGGCAGCAAACAAAATGGCATCTCCTAAGCATGCTTATTCAGCGGAATCTGGTTCCCTCCCAAGCAAAACATGAGGAGAAATTTGCTTTGTAGGGCTAAACACGGAGAAACGAACACTAGACTCCAGCCTTAGAGCCAAGAACCTCCGATACAGATCTCCAGCTTGAGGGAAACATCCCCATTACAGTGGCAGCCACCAAGCCCGGGTTACAGAGGACAATCCTACATTGCAAGTCTGCTTCGGCTTAGCAGTGGGTGACCCTGGGAGCAGGTGGCAGCCAGCTCTGGCGTTTCAAAAGTGGCCACCACAATCCTTTGTTACAAGATGTTCACCAATAACTTAGACGAGGCAATAGAAAGGGAACTTACCAAATGTGCAGATGACACTAAGTTGGCAGGAATAGCCAACACCCTAGAAGATAGGCTCAAGATCCACATGGATCTCGGCAGACTTGAACACTGGGCCGTAACTAACAAAATGAAATTCAAGGTAGAGAAAAGTAAAGTCCTACACTTAGGCAAGAAAAACCAAAATGACCCATATAGATTAGATGAAACCAGGCTTAATAGCAGTTACTGTGAGAAGGATCTTGGAGTCTTAGTGGACAACCAGCTAATATGAGCCAGCAGTGTGCAGCAGCAGCAGCCAAAAAAGCCAATGCAATCCTAAGTTGCATTAACAGAGATATATTGAGATCAAGGGAGGTACTAATACCACTCTATAATTCCATTAGTAAGACCACATCTAGAGTACTGCACCCGCTTTTGGTCACCACACTACAAAAAGGATGTTGAGACTCTAGAAAGAGTGCAGTGAAGAGCAACCAGGATGATGAGGAGACTGGAGGCTAAAACATATCAAGAACAGTTGCAGGAACTGGGCATGGCTGGTCTAGGGAAGAGAAGGACCCAGACAGCAATCTTCTAATAGTTGAGGGGCTGCCCAGAGAGGAGGGAGGGTCAAGTTATTTTCCAAAGCAAATGAAGGCCAGACAAGGAACAATGGATGGAAACTGATCAAGGAGAGATTCAACCTGGAAATAAGAAGGAATTTTCTGACAGTGAGAGCAATCAACCCCTGGAACAAGAAGTTGCCTTTGGAAGTTATGGGAGCTTCATCACTGGAAGCTTTCAAGAGGAGACTGGACTGCCATCTCTCAAAAATGAGGTTGGGTCTCCTACTTGGCCAGGGGGCTGGACTAGATGACCTACATTGTCCCTTCCAATTCTGTTATTCTGTAAGATGTCTGCGCAACACGATGGGGAGAGAAAGGAAGGTACAAGGTATGAGTCCAACTACATGGCACACCTGGCCATGTATCAAAAACTTTCTGGAAGCAGAAGAACACAACTTCCGAGATTTGCAAGTGGGAATCGCACACCACCCAGAGGCTAACATATGAAGACAAATTATGCCCTGTAAAGATCCCTTGATACTTCTAATATAATCTACTGCGGTGGGCCCCAACTGCTGATCAGTGGACTGGCATCAGTCCACAGCACACCAGAAACAGATCCACACAAACACACGTAGCCTCATCCACGGGATACAAGCAGTGTGTGAAAGCTCGGCACCCTCCGGTCCATGGAAAAACCTTTCTCGACAGAACCAATCCCTGCAAGGTGGGATTCGACTGGTTTCGACTGGTTCAGGCAAATCGGATGTTAAAGTTACAGCTGGTTCGCCGAACTGGTATTTCAACCAACCGGCTAGCCCCGCTCCTCCACGGAGTCTCCACGTGGCCCATATTCGATGGGGGAAAGTGCAGGGTCCATGCAGAGGCTCTGGGGGGGGGGAAGAGGCCTTCCAGAGGGCCCCCAGAGCCCAGGGGAGGTTGTTTTCGCCCTCCTAGAGGCCCGGGGGAGGCCTCTGGACCCTTGGGAGAGTGAAAAATGGCCTCCCCGGGGCTCTTCAGGCCCACCG